TTTCCTAAGCGAATTCCGAATGAGCTCGAGTTATTACAACAAACTTTTGACGGGCCTTTATGGTAAATGAGGCCACTGTTGGTATAAGTGAGTTGTATTTTCTTCACTGACAGTCCCATTAGTTAGCCAATCTTTGTCTCTTTCAATCATGTAAATGGTTGCTCCCCCGTGATTTTGAAATGGGTTAAGGTTTACATTGGGGTTAGGGCCTTGGGAGAGTGATGACTCTGTTATCGATCAAGTGTTGAATCTTATGTTTTAGATTGATACACCCTTCTCTATCACGTCATTCCCCTCGATAATGGTTGGCACATCGTTGATCCACCCGAAAGAACTTTTTTGTGGGATTATTGTCCTTGGTTCTACCAGTTTGATACAATTAAGTAAATGGTATAAGGACTAGGGGAACTGATATAATCTCGTTTTTATGAAGTACTCACTAAGACAATTATACCACATGCACCCTAATTATTTTAAGCCCTATAATAATTTTTGGAATATAATTGAACACATTTCTCGAGATTTTGAACTATATGCTTCAGGAATTTTAAGTCCTTCTGGAATTTTCATATAAATGTTACTATCAAGTGAACCGTAAAGATAAGATGTAACCACATCAATCAAATGTATTTCAAGTTTTTGATGTACAACTAAACTGATGAGATATCGAAAAGTTATTGTATCCATAACCAGTGAATATGTTTCTTCATAGTCGATATCGGGTCGTTGAGAGAATCCTTGTGCAACAAAGCGTGTCTTATATCTTACAATTTCATTTTTTTCTTATTTTGTTTTCGTACAAAGACCAGTTATAGACAATTGATTTAACGTCACTAGGTGTTCGTACTACTAGTCCACAAAACCTTAAGTTAAGCAAGTGAATTTAATTCTGATTGGATTACCTCTTGCCACTTTGCCAATCACATCTTCATCGACATTCTTCGACATATAGAGGTTTATGATCCTCATTGTCTTCCATAATACTAAGTGCAAAATTATATGTGAAAACGTTATCCACTTTAATTTTCAATCGATCTAAGCTTATTCCGTCACTGGAAGAACTTATTAAAAGTTCTTCATTCACTAGAGTCTCGATTTCACATATTTATTCAAGAATATCAAAATTAATCAGATCTTGAATCTCTTTGTGAGATTCTTTTTTATTGTCATTTTTTCATACTTCTTTTTCTAGGATTTTTATCCTTAGAACTCAATGGTCTACCACGCTTTAGTCGTGTTTGTGATTCAAAAGTCATGACACTTCTAGATGGTCCTTTTGGGACGTCAATACAGATAGACACATTTACTTAAGGATTGTGTGACTTTGTTATCCTTTTCAAATCAGTAAATGCATATGATAGTTGATTTTCTACGTTGTGCAAATGGATGATCATTTGGACCTCCTGTTCACACATAGAGGAACGTGGATCAAAATGATATAATGATGAAACTTTCCATGCAATTTCATTTTTAAGTTCCTTTTTCTCTCCTCCTAATTGTGAAAAATTTATTTCATCAAATCGACAATTTGCAAATCATGCAGTGAATAAATCCCCCCTTAATGGCTCAAGGTAGCAAATTATGTAGGGTTATCAAACCCATCATATACACTTAGTATTCTCTAGGGGCCATTTTAATGCGCTGAGGTGGTGTTACTGATACATATACAACACAATTGAAAATTCGTAGATGAGCAACATTTGGTTCATGACCAAATATGAGTTGTGACAGAGAATATTTATTATAATGAGTCTGTATGAGACGAACAAGTGATGATGTATGTAAGGTAGCATGACCTCAAATTGTAGTAAATAATTTAGTTTTCATCAATTGAGGTCTTGCTATCAATTGTAAGTGCTTAATAAATCACTCACCAAGGTCATTTTGAGTATGAATATGAGCTACACGATGCTTAACTTTTATCCCCATTGATAAGCAATAATCATCAAAGTCTTGGGATGTGAATTGTACAACATTATCAAGGCGAATTGCCTTAATAGGATAATAAACTGTGCTCTTAATATCATTTTTGCCAATAATTTTGCAAATGATAGGTCACGAGATGATAAGAGGCACACATGATACCATCTTGAAAATGCATCTATTCGGATCATAAAATATTTGAACAACCCACTAAATGAGTGAATAATTCTACAAATATCCCCATGTATACGTTCTAAAAATTGAGGGGATTCAATGGTAACCTTCATAGGTGATGGACCTAGTAATTAGTTTGCCTTTACAACAAGCAGAACATGAAAATACATTATTTGTAAGAATCTTCAGGTTCTTTAATTGATGTCCATTTGAATTTTTAATGATTTGTCTCATCATTATTGATCCAAGTGACCTTCGAGGCTTTTAAAGTCTTCACTGAACTGACAGTGACTCGTGCTGATAACATGTTATTAAATAACCAACTTAACAAACAAATATAATTAAATTAGATTTACAAGAAGACCAAGAGAGAGTACAATCAACTCCAAACTTTTTTGGTGTTTTATTATCACTTTCATTTGTGAATGAAAGTAATGACTATTTATAGCCAATAAGTAATATACTTGTCCATTATAAGGTTATCCACTTGGCCAAGTGATGATACATCGCAAATGGGTGACCCACATAACATTTATTTATTTTTACAACATAAAGAAATATATTATTTGAAATTAATAATTAACAAATTAAAATATCAAAAAAAAAATTCATATTAAATTTTTTATTAACCCTCCAAATTTTATTTGTTTCACACAAATGGAAAACAAAAAGGGTATATACGGCGAATGCTAGAAATTGTGAGATTGAACCTGAGAAATATGATGATCTTGTTTTTGGTGTTCCTTGTTATCTTTGTATATTTCTTCATCAAGTTCCTTACTGCTGATGGTAACTATTTGATATGGCTGCATCTTGAATTTGAATTTGATATGAAAAGAACACTGAAGTTTCAATATTTTGTTGTCAGGGGATTTCACGTTATTGTCAAAAGGGAAAGTGAAACGCGCAGAAATTGAAGATAAGGTTACCTATTTTTTTGTTTCTGAATTCTGATTATTAAGAAATTCGTAAAAAGCAAGTGTTTGGAGTACTATTTTCTTGATCAATTTTAAGCCCTGCAGGTTATTTGGATTACTGGAGCTAGTCGTGGAATAGGTATTTGGTTTTTACAGTTATGGTGTTTTTAAAGAATTTTTGTTAATATGAAACTACTGCTTTCGTAGTGCATAACAGTTGAACTTGTTGTCTTTTATACTATGAATCTATGATCATTTGTCTAGTTAACTGTCATAAGTTTGACCTTCAGTGCTTCGGGTTTGGGACTTTCATGCTGGGTCGAAACTCCTTGCAAGCGAAAGCAAGGGGTTTGCCTTCTGGGTTTAGCTGGTCTCATCATGTGTGGTTACATCTTGTGTGTGGTTTGCTAGCTATTGCGGAAGAAAAAATTAAACTGTCAGTAGTTTGTCACCCCCCTAAAGTATTTCTTCTACTGACATAAGGAACTTCTTATTGTTGCATTTACTTGTTATCGTCATTCTCATTCATTGGTATCTTTTGTATATTGGTGAAAAAGGGGAAATTCTTGCCAAACAACTTGCAAGTTTAGGAGCAAAACTCATTATATCTGCTCGAAATGAAGCTGAGCTACAGCATGTGAAGCAACAACTTAAAGGTAACACTTTCTAAGGGATGCAGGATAAGCCTTTTTCTTTCTTACTTCTCTGCTTACTATCCTGCTTTATACTTGGGATTATTGTATCTGTTAAAATCAGGAAAATATGCACCAAGAGATGTGATGGTTTTACCATTGGACTTGACATCTGGGGAGGAAAGTCTGAGATTGGCTGTAGAGAAAGCGGAATCATTTTTTGATGCAGCTGGAGTGGATTATATGATTCACAATGCAGCCTATGAGCGTCCAGTAAGTCCACAATATTTTTGATAAAGAAGCCCACAATTAATTGAACTTCCAGTATTGGCCAAATAATTCTCTGGCATCTGACTCAGGCTCTGATCGATTATATTAGTTTGTTTCTGCTTTCATTTGGATTCATTATGTTCATGGTGATAGTATCCCTTTTGGGCTAATGATATAAGGGCTTGTTATGAACAAACTCATCTTATGGAGTTTCTTAACCCGTGTATTTCAATATTAAATTAACAGATCATTAAGGAACCCTGTTAACATAGAGGATATTCAATTCTTTTGCCAGTCGTATAAAAAGCGTAGAACATGAGGGTGTTTTGAAGAATTGAACTCTTCAATATTTTCTGGAGATGGTTTGACCAAGTATGTCCTATTTTTATCTCAATCTAGAGAAACTGGGAACTTCTGTTATGGCGCTTGACGATTGAGTTGTGCAACAAAAAGTCACCCTTCACTTCTTAAAATATCTTCTGGTATTCTTATCAATCTTTATGTTTAACTTTTGTGCCTCCTATTTGGTTGGGCATGAAACAATATGATTCCACGCCAATCTTATATAATTTTATCAAAGTAATTTTAGAAGAAAACGCTAAAAGCATTCACACTTAAAAAAGTTTTTTGATATAAAAACCTTAATTTTGTGGAATTCTATGTAGCTTGAGGGTTGACACTTGCTGAGGATGTCAAATTAGAAGTTAGAACTTCAAGCAATGTAGCTGGTTTTAATGTAAACTAGTAGTTTCTAAGTAATGTAGCTGGTTTTAATGTAGACAGGTAGTTTTTAACTTTGTTCCCCTTGTAAAAACAAATGGTGCTAAATCTTTTATAACTATCACTGGAGTACATGCAGGTGGGTGGGGAGAGGAGTGAGAGAAATCACTATGAAGGACAATTTAAAATTTGCAACTTTGTCTTTGTAGCTTGCAGAACTTTAACATCTGGGTTTTCACCGAGTTTTTCTTTGATCAATTCAAGATGATTGTTAATGTTATGAAGATGTAGTTAGATAATATAATTCTCTTTATTGCAGAAATCTACAGCACTGGATGTGACAGAAGAAACTCTCAAGGTATCATGTCTTCATAAACTACGTTGGACTGATTAGGTCCATATCCATGCCTAGCCTATAAAGTTCCACCCTACTCAGTTCATGGGTTCTTTGCTTAATCATTTCAATCAGCGCTAGCAGATTCTCAATTCAGTAGTACACAACCACAACCACAAATAGTTCGTTTTACAAAAGATGTTAAGACACAATCCTTCTGAAAAATAGATGTTAAAATACAAGTAAGTGTTTGTCAACTGCAATATTATATCAACATATAGAATCCCCTTAGTTCTTATTGTTGGTTTCCAATGATATTTTTGGCTAGGAATATGTTCCTTCCAGATTATATTTCCTTTCAGTGACAATCATAAGCAATTTACATTAGGAAAGAAGACAAATTTCCAGAGTAAGTTATGTATAATGAGAATATCTGTATATCCTTGGTGCAGAAGTTGACCGGATGTGGTGACAGGGGCGTAACAAAGGAAAATTTACAGTCAATTCTGCATATGGAATCCTGAATAATCACCCAATCAGTCAAGACTAACAGTTGTGGCCATGGAAGCACATATGGGAAGTTAGAATTCCATATAAAATGAAATGCTTTATCTGGTTGGTAGTAACAGGCATGCTTAACTCATGAAATTTAAAGAGAGACATACAATTATCTTCAAGATGCTATCTTTGTGGTAAGGAAGCTGAAACTGTCATCTATGTTACATTGTGGGTTGACTTCTCAAATCTGGAACATCTTTCTATACATGAGGTATCAAATGGACAGTGCCAAAAAGCTCTTTGGAGTCTTTGGTGGAGAATGCCAAAAACATCTTTCTATGTTGTTGAAATGTATTTGGTGGACTGTTAATTTTGAAGTCAATACTTGGAGGTGAAGCGGGTGTCCTCCCAACACATACTTAGGTATGCCTTTGGGGGCAAAATCCAAGTCTATGGAAATCTCGGATGGGGTGATGACAAGTGTAAGAAGAGGTTAGCAAGGTGGAAGTCTCAGTACCTTTCACTAGGGGCAAGACTAACTTTGATTAATTCTGATGCACTTCCAACATATATGATGTCATTATTTCCTGTCCCGCTAGGAATCATCAATAGTTTGGATAGCATCAGAAGAAAAATTTTGTGACTAGAGAACAAGGAAAGGAGAGGGTATCACTTAGTCAAAGGGATCAAGAATATGAAGAACCAGAGCAAAGCTTTGAGAATGAAGTGGCTTTGGAAGTACTCAAATGATAATCAGAATATGTGGGGCTCAGTCATAAAGGAAAGATATGAAGAGAGTGATAATTGGATGACAAAGGAGGTTACCACCCCTTATTGTGTTAGCTTATGGAAATCCATTAGAGAACTTTGGAATGAATTCAAACAAAAAACCAAGATCAAAGTGGTAGATCAGTAGATGACATTAAAACTAGATTCTGGAAGGACAATTGACATGCAGAAGGAAATATGGAGACTCTCTTCCCTAACATCCAAAATTTAGTTCTTCAGCAACAAAGTACTATAGCTGACTTATGCACTCTTCAAGGGTGGAATTTTGTATGTAGAAGACACCTCAATGACAGAAATTCCAGGAGTAACAAATTTTTTTAAAAGCATTGATCAGTTTAGTGGTCTGGAAACAGGGCTGGACAGATTGCAGTGGTCGGGAAGCAGGAAAGGGATTTTTAAACTAGGTGCAACATACAAGAAGTTGAACCATCAAAATCTACAGTTACTCAGGTGGCATTGGAGACATATATGGAAAGCCAAAATCGCCTACAAGGTGTCTTGCTTTGTGTGGTTGCTGGCTAAAGAAACAGACACAGGAGAATTTAATGAAGAGGCGAAATACACTTTACTCTAGATGTTTTTTCTGTGGAAAAACTTCAAAAACAGTCAATCACTTGTTCATCTAATGTGAAGTCACTGGCCAGTAGTTCCTGAGACTTAAAAAGCATGTCCTGGTCCATGCCTGGGAGAATTTCAGAGGCTTTATATAGCTGGGAAGAAGAAGGGACACAAGCAAAAAATAGAAGTAACTGGAGAATTGGTCCCTGCCACTCTTTGGTGGACAATATGGAAAGAGAGGAACCTTAGAGTTTTTGAGAATAGGGAGAGTAGTATGCAACAAGTCAAACTGAATTGTAATGTGACCATGTGTTTTTGGTGTAATCAAATTTACTCTAATGATACGGTCTCTATCATTGATGTCTTAGACTCATTATAGGGATAGGTTGGTATTACTAGAGTTCCTTGTGTAAATACTGTTTTCAGTAAAACCTATGTACTGTTCTACAGAAATAGAAACAATTACCATTTTCAAAAAAAAATAAAGGATAGCTTTTTCGGTTTTAGCTTCACATTTATGCATATTGGTTTGGCACTGTGTTTGTGCATTGATATATAGAGATTGTTACCATTCTTAAAAAAAGAAGAAGGGAAGAGGTGAAACTTGGAGACTTAGAGGGAGCTTGATCACAGAGTTTTACAATTACTGCAAAAACAGGAGGATGGAGGGAAAAAGGAATTCAAACAACACGAAGGAAATTATAAATATCATTTGAATTTCATTTAGTCTCAAATGTACATCATATGGGCTATGTATGTTTTCTAGGTGTCTAGCTTGTAAGAGATGTCAGTTTGTGTATAATTAACTTGGCAGAAAGAAGTTCTTTAGATGCAGGCCCTTTCTGGTATAATATATTGGAGTAACTTTTATTAAAAAAGGGGAAGCTGTTTTTTTTCTTCTTTTTTTTTTGGTTGGACACTTTTGTCATCTAAAGCATGAGCATGTTTTTATGGTTTTGCTATCCATCTCTACGGAGGATTTGTCAGAAAAAGAGTCCTGAGGTTCTTATGACTCTTCATTAGTTTTTTTGAACAGATCTGTTCTGTGGATATCCATCTACCCATGGTGACCTGATAATATATGACATCTGATTATGAAATGTTTCTTTTGTGTCGCTTCAAATACTTATATCATATCTGATCTGTTAGTAGGCAATGTTAAATGTGAATGTCGTGGGCCCCATATCAATGACGCGGATGCTTGTGCCTTACATGCTGAAGCGGGGAAGAGGACATCTTGTTGTGGTAAGTAGGATTATCAGAGGTGCGATTAAGTTTGGTGACTAAATTATCTTGATGCCATAACCTGATAGCAGAACTTGTTCCGGACAAAAATTTCTACTAAATTATTAATTACGAAAATACTTAACTTACAAATCTCATACAAAATGCTGGCTGGTGGTTTACCAAGGTTGTTGCAGTATAGTCTACTAATGTTATCTTAATTTAGTACAATCTTTTAGGATCACAGTTCTTTTCTGGTTCTTCTCTTATAGAATTCTGATTTTCAGAGTCGTTCTTTTCTATGCAAATTTTTTATGCAGGCAGGTGAAACTCAAGTAGATCCATACTCTAAAAGGAATATAATAACACAATAATTCTCTTGGGAAAACTGTTTTTATCACGTTCTTATGTTAATCAGGTGGTTGTTTTTTAGTATGCCCTCGCGGCAGGACTCTGGAAAGTTTCTCCACTTTTATAATCGTTCTGTTCCACTATTAATATGTGCAAGAAATTTAGTTTTCTGTACATTATATACCCCTGGATGAGGCGATGGTAAAAAATAATAATTTGTTTTGTTTTTATACCTAGATGAGCAGTGCAGCTGGAAAGACTCCAGCACCAGGTCAGGCGGTATACTCGGCTTCTAAATTTGCAGTAAATGGGTATTTCCACTCCTTGCGTTCTGAGGTATGCATCATTTTTTTTATAATTTTATTAATAATTGGGGAAACCCCCTCATATACAAGCTGCATACCTAAAACGAGAACCTACATTGAAACATGATTCTCAAAAAAGGAGGCCCAATCTTCTAGACAAACTTCGGTCTCGTGGGAACACCAAAAGTAAACTAGAAACAGAAGATTATTTGCAACTTTACGATATCTTGTTCAACCCCTTCAAACACTCTCCAATTTCCCTCTCTCCAAATAACCACAACAGTGCTAGCGGGAAACCTTTAAAGCCATAGGACTCCTTTTTCTCCTCCTATAACTCCAGCTATGCAAAACCTCCTTCACTGTTCTTGGCATCACCCATCGCACCCCAAACCAATTAAGAATTACTCTCCACAAAAGTTAGCCACTTGACAATGGAACAAGAGATTATCCACATCTTCACTCAAACTTTTGCACAGGAAGCACCAACTAACATAGTTGATCTTCTTTTTTTGTCTGGTTTTTCGCTGTCAATATCACACCCTTGCTGCCAACCATGCAAAGAAACAGTCCTTCCTCAGACCCCTGGGTACTTAAATAGCACAATGAGGGAAAATACATTAAACTTTTATTATTAACCTCTCATAAATACCATCGAAAGGTGAATTAGCCATCTCTACTCCATTGTTATCAAAAGAAAAAATCACAAAAAAGCTCTAAGCTCCATTGGGGCTTTAAGTGCAAAGTGCAAATAAGACGTTGACTTTACTGAAAAAAGACGCAAGGGGAAAAATATACAATAAATATGTTTAGTCAAGGCTAATAATTTAAAAGAATGACAAATATATGAACAAAGAAATTGAAAATAATAACGATAAAATGAAATAGCAATTGTTTAGTTTGGTCTCTTTAGAAGAGGTTCATTGACAAAGAAAAGTATGTCTTGGAACCTTGATGACGACACTAAAGCGCACATTAAGTAAGGCGAAGCGCTCAACATGTTTTGAGCCTTGCTTCAGGGCTTAAGCATTGTGCCTCTGATAACACTGTTCTACTCTCTCACCATCTCCATACATCTCATCTATTAATAAGCAGATCCTCTCCATACAGTAACTCAACCAAATTAATAAAATTATTCTAACTCCCAGTCCTGTAGATTCATCTTGAACCTCAGATCCAAATGAACTTCCCCGTCATGAGACCTCAAAACATGATGGACTGACATCTCTTTTTGGCAAGACACTCTATATATGTTAGGGATAACTTCCCGCAGCTCATCCTCCCCACACCACTAGTGTGACCAGAAACTAATACTTCTGCCATCCCCAACTTCGGAAGAATTATATCTACCGAAGTCTTCCGTTCCTTCATAATACTCCTCCATAAACCACACCTAAAAGGTGTTTGATATTGTTAGTCCTTCACCCACCTTCCAAAATGCCATACTTTTTTACTACCACCCCTCCAAAACACATTCTCCTCCACCCCAAACCTCCATAACCACTTCCCATAGCGACGTTTTGTTGAACCCGTGATCTTTCACACCAAGTCCTCACCATTCCTTTAGAGATGTGACAATTCATCACTAAGTGAAACTTTTTATATCCCTCCGTTGAGTTCCATTACATTTTCCACTAAAGTCTTTCCACCTTTTCTGGCACTTTACAAGGAGCCTGTCGGAGTGACATTAAATATGTGGGGATGCTAGATAAAGTACTTCTGATCAATACTTCTGTTAAAGAATGAAAAAAAGGCTTGGACAATCCTCCTCCCTTAGAGCTAGCTTTTGGGGTGTGAGTTAGATTTAAGTCCTAATTTCACATGGTATCAGAGTAGGACCCGTCTTACCCCATGTTGGGCCCCCAAAATCAAAAATGCCCATGCACTACATGCTAAACACTGGGCGTGAGGTGGGGTTGTAAAGAATGACCAAAGTCCAACATTGGTGGTTAATGAGATGGGTGATCTCCTTATAAGACTTAGGCAATCTTCCTTCCTTTGAGCTAGTTTTTGGGGTGTAAGTTAGGCCTAAGACTTAATTTCACATTTGCTAGCCTCGAAAGACCATGAGTAAGAAGAAAAACGAGAAATATACCAAAAGACACAAGTTTAAGTGGTTCGATCAATCGACCTACATCCGTAAATGAGATAAACAATCCACTATAAATATGAGAGTACAAAATATAGAGATAAATTACCTCAACCAGCTCACTCAGAATACATGGGAGGTTCACACAAGTGATAACGTATCAAACTTGTAACTCATAAATTCTCCCTCTAACCAAAACTATCAAATCCCTTGAGACTACATTGTGAATGCTGATTAAGTTAGAAAGAACATACCTCTATTTATAGAGTCCTAAACCTTTTCCTATAAGAAAAGAACTAGCAAATTCAAAACCTTTTCCTAAAAGGAAAACCTATTTATGGTAAGAAAAACAGCGCAAATAAATCCTAACAAATCTCCCCCTTTGCCAGAATTTCTGTCAAAATAAATTTGTCCACCTTTTTCACATAATCTTTAGGATCTTGCATCTCGTCTCCATATTCTCCATCAAATCTACGTCTCAAAACAGAGAATTCATATGAAAAATTTCTCCAATAAAAATCTTCAGTATTGTCAAAAAGGTTGCGGCTAGAACTACACTTGCCATGATAAACCCTCATTTCTAACTTGGCTCCATCATTGAACCATGACTCTGATACCATGTTAAATTTTGCTCTCTCTAAAGTGACGGTTGATAGGAAGAGAGAGGAAAACGACGCACCAGTGAAGGGCTCGTCTCACCCAATGTTGTGGCCCCTAAAATAAAAAATGGCCCACGCACCAAGTGCCAAGTACTGGGTGTGAGGTAGGGTATTAAAGAATGACCAAAGTCCCACATCGGTAGTTAATGAGAAAGGTGTGTGCATGTTCCTCCTCCTACTCCCATCAAGCATGATAATCATGAACTGCCCCTTACTTACCTACGTCACCTCTATTTTTTTCTCATCCCTTAAGATTACTATATCCCTTGCATTACCTATAACTGGAACCTAATCATACTTCACCTACTGTTCCCCATACGCTTCTAGCAACCATGTCTGTCATTACTTTTACTTTCGACTCTTGAAGACACAAGAGATTCGACCTCCAATCCTCCCTTCTTTGACGTTCTATGTAGTGATTTTAACTTCCATGGACAGAGTCTTTACCCTCATCGCCCCTCCTTTCTCCATTGTAGCACCACTCCTTTCCCTACTTCTACATCTCCTCTCATACTCTATCATTTTACCTCCCCCCTCCTCCTTCCCCAATATTCTATCACTCCCCTCCCTACAATCTTCTCCCATTTCCTATCTTTTTTTGCCTCTAGTTCTATATACCTGAGCAAATCTAACACCTTCCTCTCCTTTCCTTCAAATAACACCCCAAAAAATTTCTCCAATCTAAGGTATTTTCCTCCCACCCCACCTGTCATGTTTCTTTTGTCCTCGACTCAAGCTAACGATATCACATCTTCTATCTGTATGTCTTTACACCCGCTGACAGTGCCAATCATCAGCAGTTAATTAGCTGAAAGATGACAGTCAGCTCCTTCCCTCACTGTGTATAAATAACTCCATTTGATTTAATACAGGCCCCTTGG